TCATCTGGAGGACTTTACCATCTTAATGCAGTTAAAATCTTTACTTCCAAGAAAAACAAAAACTGAAGACAACTTTATTTGTTAAAATTAATGTTGTAATAAAGAAAATTTCAAGCCAAACAGATAGTACTAATAAATAATGATTGGGGAAATACAAACTCTCTCCAGGAAGAGATAATTAATATTACGTAAGGTGAGGAATAAGTCCATTAGAATTTTTGTGGGGAACTTGATCCAAAATCATCATTGCTAGTATAATTCACATGGCCTCTTTCTGGAGCAAAGGAATATTTAGTGAGAGATTTTCCTTACACCAACATTATTTTTGCAGACTTCTGCAGATATAAGAAAAGAGACAAAACACTGCCAAGAATTCTGACACTACGAAGGTTGAAAGAAATGTTGAGTGGATTAAGCATTTCAGGAAATTTAAAAACTCTCAGAATACAGAACAATTATTTAGTTCACTGAGAAAGTTTATAAAGATAATTTTGAAATTCTTAGAGCAACAGAAACCTAGACTATATTGCCACTGTTATTTTTCTCTTGCTGTTCTTATATCCAGCTGCTTTCTCCCAACATAATATTGTACAGGAGGGAGTTCAATATAAAAGCATTAAAAATTATAGGGATCATTAATCCTTTAGTTTTACTTTGTTTGCTTTTCTAAATATTTTCAAAACCTCTACATGCTGAGAAAGAAAAGGGTTTACACACATCTTCAAGATATTTCTTTTAATGCCCACGTTTTAAAGTTCATCTTAGGCTTCCTTGCCTAATAAATATTCATTGAAAAGTAAATACTTATTGAGTTAACAAGTATTTGTAGAGTGAACAAATGGACGGATGAGTAGTGGTCCAGAGATGCTTTTCAAGGGGGGAGGGGATAGTGAAGCAATATCTTCTGAGTGGTCTAAATGAGGGGCAAGAACATGATTGCTGTGAACTGCAAAACCCTGACACCTGTGCAAGTTGTGGATGGACAAAATGGTGACCATAAAAAAATTCTGCAGAAGAATCAAACTGGAAACAGGAACAGAGAAAGATGAAGCCTGTGTTTCTCCTGATTTCTATTCTTTGTCGAATCATATTTGGGAGTTTATTTTCTTCCTCATCTTAGAAAATCAACCTGTTTCTTCCTTTCCTTTTCCCTTGTCTTTTGTCCCTCTTTCTCATTCTCTTTCTTATCTCCCCTATGGTGTCCAGCCATCGGACAAACACATCATTTACCAACCAACAACACTTAGATATGGCATGCTGAACATTTTCCATCTTTAAACTACTCCGACATCTGCAACAATTCTTTGCTTTTAGGAAATGTTTATCTGGTTTACTTAGACTTAAAATGGATTGACCCTTCTCAAACAGTGGTTGAAGTCAACCAGATGAAGAGTAGAACAGTCCATGGAAAAGGCAAACAGATTGAACAGGGTCACAAAGAACATTCCCAACATGAATTTAGAAGTCACAGTTAGCCAAGTGAAATGCAATGATGCCCTCCTTTTCCCACTCTAAAGTTTGGATATGTCTGGATCGACCATGACGATTTATAAAATGTAGATGCTTAAGAATAATAACTACCCTGTAGTAAAATGGAGAGAAAGTAGTTCAAATTTCCCTGCTCCCTAAAAAATACAGCTTCCTTGGTAGACTCAGCTTCCGCCATGCCATTTTTGTTTGTTTTTATTTCCTGAGCCTTGCAGTTCAGCTGAGATTAACTGGTAAGAGTCAAGGGCCAGCCACACAGTTGCACTGGAATCTTCATTGTTGACAGTATTTTTGGAGAGGGTCCCAGTGCTCAGGGGACTCAATGGCACCCCAAGTGCACAGAAGGTCCAGTAGCTTCTGAGGAATGTGTAATCCCTGAATCTAACAAAAAAGCTTTAACCTGAAGTTTTAAGTGAAAGCAGAAGTGCATACTAGGTATTCAATGTCATGGAGTCTCTGACCTCAGGCCATCTGCAGAGGGAAGGGATTAGTTAAGAAAATCCTACCCTGCTCAAGATCAGCTGTGGCTCCCAGCTCCTTGCTTCCAGGGTGTGTCTTTCCAGTCATTCCTGTAATTTGAATTGATTTTACTTTATGTCAACATTTCTGGCATATTTCATCCATGAGTTCTGCATTTTTCCCTACCTTGTTCATTTATCTATTTGTTTATTTAATATACATTTATGGATATCAAATGGGGAATAGATACTGGACTTTGAACTTGAAACAGAAGACGATAATATGCATTTTATGGCACTCTAGGAAGTGTGATCGAGGATCTACGGTGAATGGCTGTTCACTCCACTGGACCAGACCTGACAAGGGGAAACTGATCAGGGGATGCCTTCCCAAATGACTTATATCTGACATAGGTCCATTCAACATAAAATTGTCCAGTGTAGCTATTTAATGTAGGTGGGTACTTGAGATGGTTCATTGGTGTCCTTATAGGAAGAGCTCACTCCTTCCCAGTGGCTGCTCTGATTGTCACTGTGGATTGGATATGGAACCAGGGTTCTCAAGGTCTGCAGCCTCCTGCCAGACTCAGTCTTCAGTGTCATCGAGAGAAACACAATAAACCAGGTGTAATAGGAACAAGTGTCAAATTATGAAAGCTAGCAGGTTATATTTAGTAATCCCTGACATGTCAACCCTAGATGTGTTTAGTGTACACACTGGCTCTATTACCCCCTTGCCCCAAATCTGGCTGTGTGTTTTACCTCTGTCACATTAGGCAACCCTAATATGCTGACCTCGATGAGATACGGAGCCCTTCACTGGGTGCAGTCATCTTTTATGAGTTGGTACTAAGATGCTGTGGCTGGAATCAGGCTTAGACTAAAGCATACATACACACACACACACACACACACACACACACACACACACTCACATACACGAGCAGGTATTTAACGCATTTTATTTCTTCTAGCAAAAAAAAAATCACATTTACATAAAGAATCTCTTATGGTGGAATTTCAGGCAGAGTAGGAGGGATATTTCCAAGCAGGTAGCATTGTCAGTCCTCCTAAAGTATACCCTACCCCAAATGCCCATTTAGCTCCTCTGTTCTGTACAAGTCTAGGGTCTGGGATGGGATTACTATCTTTCCAGATGAGAGTGAGTTTAAGATAGTTCATGTATGTTTGAGTAGCTGAGATTTTTTTAAAATGCTTCTTCCAGTTTAACATGATTTTATGTACCTGCTTCCAAATGGTTTTCTTTTCATAATGTTGAAGTAAATTCATTCACATTTTTAGACACACATGAAAATATTTGACCCATCAAACATTTAGTGAAATGACAGATGATCTTTTCAATAAAAGGCAGATTTCAAGGGCTAAAATTCAGGAAGTTGATTTGCCACATTTAAACACACTATGGACTCAAAAAATTTAGGATTGCTTCAGAAAGTGAACTTAATAAGTACAAGATGGGCCAAAATTTAGAAAAACATCTCTTTTGTTCTTTCTTTTTTTTTTTAAACTATTATTTCTTGAGAAAACAACACAAAATTTAGTTGGTAATTTAGAATGTTTAAAGCAGCATTTCTCAGTGTTTCCCATGAAACACAAGTCCCTTAAACAGTATCTCACCAAAAATAAATAAATAAATAAAATTTTAAAAAAGAAAGCTCCCTGGTTAGCAATATGTGGAAGGTACTAGTCATAGTGTTTCTTCTCTGGGAGGCTCACTAAAGAAGATTCTAACTTCCTTTATTCTAGCATTGCCTGTTCTGTCACTCTAGCTATTAATATCCATGGATTATACTTTAGGAAATGCTCAAGTCTTCCCAGTTGCTTAACCCTTGAATATTTCTCCTCTTTAGAGAACAAAAGCAGTGTAATGGAGAAATTATAGACACAGACTTTAGACTCAGACAATCCCAATCCTGCTAGTTACTGATTGTGTGACCTTCAGCAATGACAGCCTGTAATTGTCAGTTTTACAGTCTCTAAAATAGCACCTATGAATAGGGTTGTTGGGAGGATTTAAAGGGCAACTTCTATAGAGTACTTTACCTAGTGCCTTAGTGCCTGGCACATATAAATTTATCAAGATTTGCATAATTCCATGTGCACTGTACTATTAGAGATGGCTTGAGTAGTTATGGCTAAGTCACCCACAAACAAAGAAGTCATTAGAACCCCTCCCCTCCTTGGCATTCAGGTGCAATATGTTTGTCTGGTAATGAATCTCCCCATTACATCAAATTCTGTAGGAATCAATCACAAATTCCAGAGAAAAGCAGGGCGCCTTCCTTGCCTTTCTCTTCTGTGTATCTCTGTTTGCAGCTTGCCTCCTTCTCTGGCTCATTTCTTTATGCTCCCCTCATCTGAACTAACTGTTTTGGGGTTACCTGGCTCAGCTTTATAATCCACCAAACTGGACAAATATTTACTGAATAACTAAAGTGGTCCTTGAAGGTATGAATCACTCCAAGCACCCAGCCCTGGGATCTGACTTCTGCAAATTTGAATGTTTACATAATATGAGGAAAAACAATGAAAACACTTAGCTTCTTTGGCAAGCGACCTGATAAAACAATGAAATTCAAGAAGCCTTTTAGTTGAAAGAATGGGATTATGAACTCAATAGGAAGAAGCCACAGACCTAATGGCAAAGGTTGAGTTTTTCTGTCGTAAACTCACCTATTAATGTTTCTCCCTGAAAGCTGCTGACAGAGCTTTGGCAAAGAAAAAGAAAAAAAAAAAAGCAAAACTCATCCTCTGGCTGATAAGTGGAGCCCTGTTTTATATTTAACTCGTTCCAGGGCAGGAGGAGTAAGGGATAGTTGTTTATAAGGGGAGCTGTGGAAATACTCTCTCCAGTCTTTTTCCTCCAACTCTGCTCCTTTTCTGGAATTCTCATCCCACCCCTTTTTTTCTGCCTTTGTCCTTGAGTGACTGGTGCGAACTAAAGGGAGTGGAAAAGTCGCAAGTAGCCAGAGGGCGAGGTGTGGGAAAAGAAGACAGGCTGCCGAGGGCAGGGGACTCTTTCCAATTGGGAAAGGAAGTCTGCTGACGTGGGTTAGTTAAATTTAACATCCTTTCATGTGTCACTTTTGACTTGGGAAACAAAAATGAACTTTGCAGAGGAAGGGGGCTCTAAGAGATACTGCATTCAAACGAAGCATGTGGCCATTATCTGTGCGGTGGTGGTGGCTGTAGGATTAATAGTGGGACTTTCTGTGGGCCTGACCAGGTCTTGTGACTCTGGAGGAGACGCGGGGCAGCACACAACTCCAGCTCCACCTCCATCCCACCTTCCGCCCACTCCGAGCTCCTCGGATGTCCCTCCGCAGGACCAGGACGTCTGCCCCGCCAGTGAAGAGGAAGGACCGTGGAATAACTTCAGGCTGCCGGACTCCATCAACCCTGTGCACTACGACCTGGAGGTGAAGCCGGTGCTGGAGGAGGACACCTACAGCGGCAATGTGACCATCTCCATCAATTTCAGGGAGCCCCTGCAGTACGTGTGGCTGCACCTGCGTGAGACCAAGATCACCCGGCTGCCCGAGCTGAAGAAGGCCTCGGGGCAGCAGGTGCAGGTCAGGCGGTGCTTTGAGTACAAGCAGATGGAATATGTGGTGGTCCAGCCCGAGGAACAACTGGTCCCCACCGAAGGGCCCTACCTCCTGAGGATGGAGTTCGCAGGCTGGCTGAACGGCTCCCTCGTGGGTTTCTACAAAACCACGTACACCGAGAACGGGCAGACCAGGTAAGGAGTGCGCTTGGCTTTGCTTGCCCTAAACGTGCTCATCTGCCTTCTGTTTATTTTCCTTTCCTTCTCCCTGTTCATCCTTTAATTACTTTGCTCATCTCATCTTTATCTGCGCTTGGTTTCTATTCAGGCGAATCGTCCGAGAAGCAAAAATTCTTGTTCTGTTATTTTTTCAAAGCGTCTCACTAAGATTTGAAAGTAGTAAATGAAAGGCATGGAGTAAAAAAAAAAAAAGAAAAACAGATTGGTTCTTTTATTCCATCAGGAGAAATCATAGCACACTGCAGCCTACTCATAATATTTATACAAACTACATCGAATTTTAAAATATATGGGCTTGGTAAATGTCGCTTGTGAAATCCTTGAGCTATATACTTTAAATTTTGTACAGAATGTTAGCCGGGCGCCGGTGGCCTGTAATCCTAGCTACTCAGGAGGCAGAGATCAGGAGAATCACAGTTTGAAGCCAGCCCAGGCACATAGTTCGTGAGACCCTATCTCAAAAACCCATCACAAAAATAGGGCTGGTGGAGTGGCTCAAGTTGTAGGCCCTGAGTTCAAGCCTGAGTACCAAAAAAAAAAAAAAAAAAAAAAGAAAATAAATTTACACAGAACATTTAAAGTGACCCAAGAAATTTAAGTGAAAATCAGTAAATGTCAATTCATTTTTAGTCCATTTCATTGGAGGGATATTGAAAACTTGCATGGGGTCCACAGAACTGTCTTCATGTTTTCATCCAGGAGGGAAGACAGGACGGTGTCTTTTTGTCTCCTATGTGAGAGCCATGTTTTATACACAGGCTTTCAGGAAACACTCACCCATCCATCCACCCATCAGTGACAGCACATAGATGAATTTGGGCTCTGCTACCATTGGGAATCATGCCATAGCAATGCAAAGTCTTTTGAAACATAAAATGTTTGCTGAGTAATTAAGTACATGCAAATGTTTCTCCTCACCACTGTCCTCCAAGTGCAAGTGTGTGGGTAATTTCATATATATATTTTTTATTTTTATTATTTATTTATAAATTTTATTTATACATATTTAACTTTATTATCTATCTAATCTACTAGCTTGCATTTACATGGATCAGTGGCCATTACCAGAACTGTGTTAAAGGCATAAACTCTCTCACTGAACCAGCAAAACTTCACACTGGGAATATGGTTCTTGCACCAAGAAAGCAGGCTACACTACACCACCTGAGCTGTCACTAGACTTGAAACTGCTTTGAACTCTGCCTATTTAGATTCTGAAGAGGCAAATAATTAAGAAAGCTTTGTGTCACATTCCTTTACCTCTGTTGTCTGAAGCATCTTATAGAACAAAGTAAACCTCTTGCTCAAAGTTCTTGCTATTGCGTGTCAGAGAGACCCAGGGAATAAAAAGAGAGCCTTACGTGTCCCTACATGACTGTGTAGTCACTGATAAATTGCGTAGACAATTTAAAGAAAATATCTGAAGTAGTCATGCTTATATAAATCCTATAGCTTACTATTGCTAGAATGAGATATGCTTGTTTATCATTTATTAATTTTCTGTTCCAAAAATTACAATGTAGAAAACATAGAGAATTATTAAAAAGTAGCCAGGTGTGCAGTGGCTCATGCCTGTAACCCCAGATACTCAGGAGGCATAGATCAGGAGAATCAAGGTTCCAGGCCAGCCCAAGCAAAATGTTAGTGCAATTCCATCTCAACCAACAAGTAGGGTATGTTGTCATGCACCTGTCATCCCGGCTACCAGGAAGGCATAGTTAGGAGCATTGCAGTCCTAGGCCCACTCCGAGCAAAACTGTGAGACCATATCTGAAGGATAACTAAAATAAAAAAGCCTAGAGGTGTAGTTCAAGTGGGAGAGCACCTGTCTAGCAAACACAAGTTCCGGAGTTCAAACCTCTAGGCCCTCAAAAAAAAAAAAAAAAGGATATCAAAGGCCTGCATAAGTAATTTTATAACCTAGTGATAATTCATGTTCACATGTTACTGTACAGTGTAATATTTTTCTAGGCAATCAAAATTACAATTGCATTAAGTTTATCTATATACCTTTTAAATTAAATATGTTTTTCTTTAAAAAATATTTACAAGAATTTGAATGTAAAGATTGTGCAATATGAATTGCACTGAAAAATTTCCCCATTTCCCTATTGTTGAGCATCTGAGTTGCTTCTAGTATTTTATTATTATAAACAAGTCAGAACATAATTGTACATACCTCTTTATGTATGTTCATCTCCCTAGGTTGGGGTATCATCCTAAAAACAGAATTGCTAGGTCAAAGGGTACAAAATATCAAGAAACGTGTAACTGTTTATTCATTACATGAATAACTCACAGTCATTGCAGAGAACTTGGAAAATGGAGAAAACTGGAAGAAAAAATAAACATACTGATAAATTCATCACCAAAGAAGAGGCAGGACACAGACAGCATGGCATTATTATGTGTACAGTAGAATTGTGTAACACACTTCGTCACCATGGCATCAACTGTTCAACAAATCATTTCATATTCTTCAAGTGATTTGAAGAATACATGGTAGGCCATCGTATAAGTCTAAAGTAATTTCTTCAGTTTTGCCATTAAATGCAAGTATTTAAATTGCTCCTACTTAACACAATGAACATTCTTTTTTTTTTTCTGTACTGGAGTTTGAAGCCATTCCACCAGTCCTTTTTTTGTGATGAGTCTTTTCAAGATAGGGTCTTGTGAAGTATTTGCCCAGGCTGGCTCTGAACTACAATCTCCTGATCTCTGCCTCCTGAGCAGCTAGGATTAGAGGTGTGAGCCACCAGTGCCCTGCTCGCAGCGAACATTCTTATAGATAACCACGAACTATTTTATGTTAGCTATAAAATATATCTTTTTAATATTTATACTTTTAAAAATTCTTGGGAAACTGGCCCAAACTATATATGTATGTTTGAATGCATGTAATGTATGTGTGTACAAGTATGTATATGTGTGTATCTCCAAACTGACTCTAAAAGTTTGTGCCAATGACATATCCACCAACCATGTATGAAGGCACCGTTTTCTCTAAGCTTAGTCAATATAATGGATATTTAGAATATTTGCCAACTTCTTAGAGGAAAAGGCATAATATTCAGAAGAGCATTCACCTTGAAGAAATTCTGAAAATTCATTCTTGCAAAGTAAGAATGACTCAAAACTAGCATTTTTATCATGAAAATTTAAAAACTGCTTCTAAGACAATAGAACTTTCATTTGATTAAAGCCATGAAAATATTTATTAAATGAATAAAATAAAATTTTACATACTATAGGAAAGGCCCCAAAATATGGAACAGCTCTCCATTAATACATTTCTGTTACTTAATTTGTAAATTTAAAAAAGCATATACTTAAGCCTATGTTATTCACTCTGACTTTTTGGATTATTTTTTTGTACCAGTTACCTTTACCAAAAAATATATGCCTGAGAGCTGTTGCTCTGTAACCCAGCTTACCTAATTTTGTTTGTCAAATGCTAAATGACAGCAGAATTGCTGAGAAAGGCCAGTGCCCATCTGGGTTCTTACCAAAGACCCCTCTCTTGAATTGGCCAGTTTTCACTGGTCGCTGAGTAAGGAAGGAATCCCTGCTTGGTCAGTTTTCATTGCTAGCTGACTGAAGACTGGTATCTCCAGCTGGTCAGTTTTCACTGGTAGCAGTGAACATGCTCACATTACACAGGATGCCTGCCAGCACTGTGCTGCACACACAGCTTTGGAGTGATTCCAGCATCTACTCAACAGCCCCATTTAGGCTAACTGCAATACTTCTTGTTTTTCTTGTTATGAAGTATTTCAAGCACATGAGAAAAGCACATTGTTTTTTTTTTTTTTATTTCCCAAGTCTGGGAGTAACATTTAGACAGTGCCGCCCCTAGGGGTGCTTTTCCACCAAAGTCCATGACTGACTGCTGGGGTGAGGTCACAGGGCACCACCGTTATTCCTTCACAATGAACAGTGAGCATCAGCCTATACGATGTTCATACAGATTTAGATATCATCACACTAACACATTTTAAGTACACAGCCAAAATACATGCTCGATTTATTTATTTGACACATTAAAATTTATATATTCATGGATATTTTGATACATGTACACATTGTGTAATATTCATGTCAGTGTAAGCATAGCTATCTCTTCAAACCTTTATTTTTTCATTGAGGTGAGGACATTCAAAATCTTTTCATCCAGCTTTTTGAAATGTATATTACCACTATCATTATCCATGGTCACCCTATTGTACAATGGCACACCAGGCTTCTTTTTCTAACTGTAACTTAATACCCATTGACTACTGTTTCCCCATCCTCCCCACTTCCCTACCTTCCTTAGCCCCTGGTAACCAGGATTCTACGCTCAACTTCTATGAAGTCAACTTTTTTTATATTCCACAGATGAGTGAGGTCACATGGTGCTTGTCTTTCTGTGCCTGGCATACATAGTTCACTTAACAAAATGACCTCCAGTTTCATCAGTGTTGCCATAAATGACAGGATTTCACGGTTTCTGTGGCTAAGTAGTAATTTATTGTGCATATGTTGCATGTTTTCTTCATCTGTTCATCAGTTAATAGATAGATTGATTTGATTTCTGGTGATCATCAGTAATGCTGCAATGACCATAATAGTGCAGATATCATTCATTTCAAAATTATGTTTTCTGCTTTAATATAAAATTTAGTTCTAGGATTGAGTATTAGGTGCTTTTGGATATTAATGAGTCAACCACAATGCAAACTAAACATGATTTCACTCTATATTATCTGAAGTTACCTGCACTTGCAGAAGCAAAGATAGCCAGAACTGCTATTTCACAAAAGGAAACAACAGTCTAAAATTCTTTCCCTCAAAATTGAGGGCCAGTCAGTCATAGTGGTGCACATCTGTAATCCCAGCTACTTGAGAGGGAGAGACGGCAGCAGTGCAGTTTGAGGCCAGCAAAAATAAGGTCAAAATAAGCTAGCAAAATCCCA